TAAAATAAACCAAATATTTTTTCTACTTAAACTAACTAGTCTTTGATGATATTATATATATATATATATAAATATATTCCTATATATGCATGTTTACTTAACCCAAACTGGAAACAACGTCATATCATTATCAAAGTTAAAAGCTTTCCGAGATTGAGCTTTCCATTTCATCTTCAACTTGCAACATAATGACTTACACCAAATGAAACCAGGCAAAAGTTCGCCACTCTTTCTCTTTATTTAATGTGCCTCTTTACTATTTGGTTCCGTAGTCCCCATCCATCCTCCCTGCAACTTCAACTTTTAGCTTCCATTGCCTAATTAGTAGTTTCCTTTATTCTTCCCCTTACCTGTTTAGATTTCTAAATTGTTATTTGAGCCCCTGTTTTTGATCCATACTCTTGACTTCAATCCAACAGAATCCTAGGTTCTCTGTTACAACAAACCATGCGCTGATCCTCCCCCAATATTTCTCAGATGGGGTTGTTCAAAGGTTTGGTTTTTACTCTGGCCCTGTTGCTGATCATGGCGGTGGTCACCGGAATTGGAGTAAACTGGGGTACTCAGGCAACACACCCTCTTCCTCCTTCTACGGTGGTCAGGATGATCACAGACAACGGAATCCAAAAAGTCAAGCTTTTCGACGCCGATTCCTCCATACTCAATGCTCTTAGCAACTCTGGGGTTCAGGTCATGGTTGGTATTCCCAACGACATGCTCTCTACTCTTGCCAACAGCGTTCAAGCAGCTGAAAATTGGGTCGCCACCAATGTTTCCACACATGTCTCCTCCAACGGTGTCGATATCCGGTAAACCTCCTCCTCTAAATTCATCAGATAAAAATTTCTTTTCTTTGATTTGTTGTTGATTATATTTTTTTTGTTTCTCCTCTAAATTCAGATATGTTGCTGTTGGGAACGAGCCATTCCTCGAGACATATAATGGAAGCTACATCGGACTTATTCTGCCTGCTCTTCAGAACATCCAGGCTGCTCTGATTAAGGCTGGTTTAGGTGCTCAGGTGAATGTGACTGTTCCCTTCAATGCTGATGTCTACCAGAGTTCAACCAATATTCCTTCTGGAGGCGATTTCCGCTCCGACATTAAGGACACCATGTTGCAGATTGTTCAGTTTCTAAGCAACAATGGAAATCCTTTCACAGCAAACATCTACCCTTTTATAAGCCTTTATGACAACCCCAACTTCCCCATCGACTATGCCTTCTTTGACAACTATTCGTCTCCTATTAATGATAGTGGAAGAATTTACAAGAATGTTTTTGATGCAAACCACGACACGCTTGTATGGGCCTTGCAGAAGAATGGCTATGGAAACGTGTCTATAATTGTTGGAGAAATTGGTTGGCCAACTGATGGGGACAAAAATGCAAACTTGAATTACTCTCAGAGGTTTAACCAGGAGTTTGTGTCCCGTGTCGTGGCCGGAACAGGAACTCCGATGAGACCAGGCCCCGTAGACGCATATCTGTTTAGCCTGATTGATGAAGATGCCAAAAGCATTCAGCCTGGTAATTTCGAGCGCCACTGGGGCTTATTCTATTTCGACGGGCAGCCAAAGTATCAGCTGAATCTAGGGACGACAAACTCGAATCGTTTGATAGCAGCAAAAGGTGTCCAATATCTGCCACAGAAGTGGTGTGTCTTGTTCCCGTCTGCCAGTGTTGATGACCCACAAGTGGCGCCGAGTGTGAGTTATGCGTGTGCAAATGCTGATTGCACGAGTCTTGGCTACGAGACTTCGTGTGGGAACTTAGACGCTCGCGGGAACATCTCGTATGCGTTTAACGAGTACTACCAGATTAATAATCAGCTTGATTCTGCCTGCAAGTTCCCAAACCTCTCCGTTGTCACAACTCAAGATCCCTCTGTTGGAACCTGCAAGTTCATAATCATGATTAAAACCGACACTGCAAGTGCGGTAGGAAAAACCTCTGGATCCCTGAGAAACCCAGTTGGTCTGATGTTCGTGCTCATGTCTGCACTTCTCTACAGCATTACGTGAATATACAGGGTTGATTTTTTCGATTGGAATGTATAGAGAACACTCATTTGATGAGTCACTTATGCTAGTATGTTTTTTTTAATAAAAATACTTAATTCATCAGCTGGATATCACTACATGATTCTGTTCCAATCACAGCAAAGCTAGGTTGTCCACGCCACAAACCTGGAATAATTGCAGGGAAGAGGAACACAAGCAGAATAAAAACAGTAACAGTATGCAAAAATCTCTTTCTATATATCAAACACTTTCTGCTCATTGGATCTAACAGGATACACTCTTTTGAGAATTACTTGATTTGCCTTTGAAAACACAAAGAAAGAGAAAATAACAATGTAGGAATATTGAACAAAGAATTTAGTTACAAGGCACCAGACAAATCAGCTTACTGAACATGAACATGTTGGTTAGGCTTGGTTCCAATTGTAGGCTCCACAGCAAGTGAAAACTTTTTCCTGCTAAAAACACTGCTAGGTGTTGAATTGGCCCTGTCAACATTCAGTGCAACAGTTGAAGCTCTACTTGTGCAGAATATCCTCAGTTTCACTGAAATTAACATAATTCTGTGATTCCTGAAAAGATGGTTGGTTGTGCGGTTAATAAACAAATCAGTAACTCATTTTGTTCTTGGCTTAGAGAAACTATCTAAGAGCTTTCATCGCCATGCTAATTTGTATTATTAACTACTCAATTGATACGAAACTTTCAAAAGATAATCTTTACAATCAACAGTGGTTACTTAAAACTACTCTTAGTGAAAGGCAAATAATTAAGATAAAATCAAGAATCTACCATGTTTGAGTGCTTGCATCTTTCTAATGTTCTTGTTTGACACTTTTGAAGATGTTCTCTTGATCTTATGTCAGCCTACAATCAAAATAAAAATACAAATCCGGGCTAATATTTTAAATGAAATGATCAGAGAAAAAATAAAATCAGAGATGCTCATCAGTTCAAAGTATTTAACAACTGATGACTGGCTATTTGATAAAACTTCATTGTTGCCATTTGCCAATGCTCTTATAATCTTATCAACTACAGAACAGCTATGGTATTGCAGGTGTTCAAACATGCAGCCCAAAATTTTAACTGAGTTGTGGCAAAATCTTGTGCAGGAAGTTAAAATCAAACTTTTGAAATACTTGAGGATTTAATACTCAGAAGCCATTCTTCCAAATTTGCAATCACTGATCCATTAAGAAACTTTGATATTGAGAGAATGGTAGTAATTTAATGAGAAAACTACCACAACGGGAGTTACCAAAACTGGAGATGAGACTTGTCTCACCCTCAATGTGTGCAGTGACTCTTTTTCATTTGTTTAAAGTCAAAGATTTACATCAAATAGGTTCATAAACAGAAAATAAAAGCTTTCAAGGGGATTTTTTTTTTTATTTACCAAAAGAGGGATGAATTTGACTTACCTGCCTCACAGGCTCAGGCACACGGTATTTGCAAGTCATTTTAACAATCATGATTGCAGTATCAAGTGATAAACGGTGACCAATTGAAACAAATATAGGTTTCAACGAGCCCTGAGTTGATCTCATTGCCTGTCAAATGAAAAAGGAAAGAATGTAAAAAGTGCAGACTTGTAATAAAATAAATACAATTTCACAGCCAAACCAGCTGCCTGTCCTTCTCAGCTACTTCACAGGTGACATACAGATAATGCAAAAATGGAAAGAATCCATGCTCAATCATTTACCGCTCCCCAAACAAATCCAGAGCTCCCCGTCAAATTAATGAGATCTTTATCTCTGTTTTCTTCAGCTTCTAGAAGTCTTCTTACCCCAGATTGAGTAAGGCCATCCACATGATGAAGCTGAGATGATTATAATTAGAATTTTACATAAAATAAAATGGGGATTGAGTGTATCACATGCTTGATTTTCAAATCAACAAAAGTAACTCAAAAAGAAAAAAAGAACATTCAATTTATACATATAAAGAAGAGAAAATTGGAATTTTAACTCGTCGCACAATCTAAAATTCCAAACTCACATTCTTTCCAATCCCAATGGTGGGAAGATTTGCCAAAACACCAATATGAGATGCTAATCCAAAACCTGCACAACAAAAAATTTAACCTTCTAACTTGTTTCTTCGAATTGTTTTGAAGCAATCAAGTAAAGATTATCTTTCTACGGTCCACCTTTATCCTTGTGTTGAAAGAAAATACATAGTAAAACTGGAAGAAGGAATGTATGAGAAAGACTTGCCTCGAGGATGAAGTAACCCATTGCCATCCACCATCAGTACCTGTTAATGGGGGTGAGTAATAACTAAAAAGCATGAAAATTTCAGAATCCCAATAAACCATGGCAGAGAAATTAGATTCAGACCTGTGGATAGAAAGGACTAGCATTCTTCTTCATGTTGTCCAAAAGCTGTAGAAGCACTGGAGCCTGTAACAATGAACCATCAATGGAAATGAAAGAATTACTCGATCCACAGAAAAGGGTAGTTAAATAAGCGGCAACAATTGAGAACCAAACCTCACGAAAGGCGAGGAAGCCGGGAACATAAGGAACTTGAAGGCTGACGGTGGCGTAATCGTGGTAAAGCAGTTGCAGAGAGTGGAAGTCCAGAACGACGAGGCATCCGCAGGCGATCGAGGGATCGTCCTTGGAGAAGCTAACGTCAACTCCGCCAACATACTTGACAGCTTGTTCTTCAGGGGATTGGGAGGGGAGCAATTTCCAGAAGAATTCATCCTCCGTGACCAATCTTTTCTTCAGTGAATCTTGAACCCTGTCGCGTCAAATTGGTAAGCAGGTAGCCATCCAAGTTGAAAAAATGAACTTATTACAAAGGCGTACAGAATCCAATTACGGAGGAGAGGAGGCAGTGATTGCTCTTCCGGCGCCGGCGCGTCTCCGTTTCCCGGTGTTCCGTTCATTTCCAACGTATATTTAGGGTCGGGTCGGGTATAAAAATCAAGGGATTATTAAAAAGGGTAAAATGCTTTTTTGTCCTTAACCTTTTTTGTGCAGCTATTAGTCCCAAATCTTTTTAAAAGGTCTACTATTAGTCCTTCTATTAGTTTAAAATATAACTCTATAAAAAAAAAAAAGACAACTACTAACTAGTATAATAATAATTTTTTGGGTGAAAATAAAAGAATATAAACTTGTAAATCAAGGGATAAAAAAATTACATTTTGTTATATAATTTAAAATAAATAAATAAATAAATAACAAATTCAAATGACCCTTAAAAAAAAGAAAAAACTTGCATATCTTCTTTTTCCTTGGTCCACCTAAAAAGCCTCACTATTCGCCATATCATCCAAGCAAATCTCAATTAGATTTATTACTCAAGTTGACGAAATGACCCGATGGTTGGTGGACCATTTGCAAAAGGTTCAGGAGAATCAAGACTATAGGTGACATTCAATGAAGGTAAGGAATAAAATTGTTAAAAAATTGCTATCGATTTAAGTAACTTAATGATTATTTTTTTTATTGAAAATAAAAAATTTTAAGTTCAATTTGTATGGCATGCAATTATGATGAGATAAGAGATGAGAGATGGTTACTTCTTATTGTGTAACAAAGATTTTAAAAAATACTATCAAAAAATTAAAGATGAAACGAAGAATTTACCTAATATTATTTAAAACAAATTTACTAACTTCTTGTTAATTAAAATGTTAAAAATATAATACAATTAAAATATTTTTAATAAATAATAAGCACATACAAAAATTTATTAAAAATATCTAAATAATTTTTAAAATTTTTTTAACATTTTAAATAAAAATGTATGTAATATAATTCAAATTATATATTAAAAATATAATCTATTTTTTAAATTTATTAAAATGATTTTAATAAAATAATACAAAAAATAAATTTACTAAAAATATTTTAATAAATTTATAAAAAAACTACATTTTTAGTATATAGTCGGGTAAATAAAAAAAAAAAAAAACTAGATAAATAGTTTTCCGGTTGGGTCGGGTGTAATTCATCCAATATCCAGAAACTGAAGCAAGATTGGTTAGGGCTTGGGGGCGAAGGCGAAACAGGGTCGGGTATTTCAGGAACCTTCTTACCCGTTTCAAAACTGCACCAGTCTTCTTCGGTTTCTTTCTTATAAAAGCTCGGCGCAACATTTGCAGGGTTTCTTTCTATTTCTCTGAAATTTTCAGGGAAATTGAAACTCCATCCTGTTCTGTTCAATTCTTGACACCAAATTCAAACTCATTCCATACCTACCTTGCCGATTATCTGGTTGTTATTGTTTTAGACTGTAAATAAAGAAATGGAGGCGGCGGCCATGGGTGATTTCTCCAACTCAGGTGGCCAAGGGCCGGGCGAAGCCCCTAACCCTAATCCTGCTCAAGACCAAAACCAGAATCAATCTCAAGAGCAGGGAGGGAGACAAGACCAAGAAGAAGAAGGGAAAGACGACGAGGAGTTGATGGCCAAGGCACAGAGTCTCATGGAAAAGATCACTTCTTCCCACGATAGCCCTAATCCCGCTGTCCTCCATGCTCTCTCTTCGCTTCTCGAGACCCAGGAGTCTCTGTATGCCTCTTCTTTGCTCATTTAAACGCCATCATTTATGCTTTCTTCCTCTTTCCATTCGAATTTGTGATGTAATTGTGCCATTCTTTCTGAAATTCAAGACTTAGCTGTGGAAATGGTTGAATGCTTATGATATTCTTGTAATGCAATTTTAAGCTGTGTTCATTTTTCGTCGAGAGGTTTTGAATTTTCTTGCTCTGTGTTTCAACTCCAGATACATTAAAGAAAACGGTTATTCCTTGAGCAGTGGTCGTGCTTCTCATAATATTGGACGGCTGGGGAATTTAATCCGGGTAAATTAAGTTTTCTTGTTGATATTTTGTCTTTCCACCTTTTGTTCATTTCTGGTTCATTAAGGGGAAGGGCAATAGGTGTAATCATAAGCAGATTATTGCTGTCTTGGGATGTTTCTTATTTGGAAATTTCCTCTGTTCTCAGGATAATGATGAATTCTTTGATTTGATATCGTTGAGGTTTCTCTCTGAGAGTAGATACTCAACATCTGTCCAGGCAGCTGCTGCAAGGCTTCTTTTGAGCTGCTCTCTTACTTGGGTTGTAAGAATATCTTCTCATTTCTTAATCTGTTAAAATCCTCTATATTTTTTATTGACTTATGGGCTGTAAACTGGATGCAGTATCCTCATGTCTTTGATGAACTGATTTCGGTAAACATTAAAGCTTGGGTAATGGATGAGACTGCCAAGTATTCTAGTAAAGATCAGAACTGGAAGCATGAAGCAGGGAGAAAGGAAGCCTCAGATGCTGAAATGTTAAAAACCTATTCTACTGGACTTCTTGCCATGTGTTTGGCTGCGTATGTTTCTACCAGGCTTCATTGTCTTTTTGTATGCTTATGTTTATAATGTATTCTTATCATCAGCATCCATTATTTTTTTTTTTCTCATCTTTGTTGAATGACTGCAGTGGTGGTCAAATAGTAGAGGATGTGTTGACTTCTGGACTGTCAGCTAAGCTTATGCGTTACCTCCGAATTCGTGTTCTTGGTGAGCCCTGTACAAGTCAAAGAGATGCGGGCCATTTAACTGATATCAAGAGTGTTTCTTCTGCTCCTTCCAGAGGTAGAGAAGAAGGTCGGGGTAGGGTCAGGCAGGTTTTGGAGACAAGCCACTTAGATGATTTGAAGATAACAGATAATAGATCTTTGGATGATCAGTCTGTTGAAAGGGATCTGCCAGATGGGACAGGTGAGGGGGTTGATGTTTATGATATAGATGCTGAGGTTGAGGACAAGTGGCAAGGTCGAGATACTCGTGATGGAAAATTGAGATTTGGAGAACTTGATGAAAGTGGTACCGATGACTCTACAAGACGAAGGACAAACCGTGTAGGGCCAAGATCTAGAAGTAAAGGAAGGAGTACTGAAGGGGTTACAGAGAATGAACAGGGACTAACCTCTCCAGGATCTGAGAGTTATTTGGGTGGACGAGGCATCAGAGACAGAAGTTTGTCAAAGAATTTAGATGTGAGAAAGGTGCCAGATGCAAAAAAGTTTGTCGGAAAGGTGAACATCGATGGTCCTTTAGTGGAAACAGATGACAATGATGAATGCTCACAGGAATACCGGGTTGGAAATAGAGACATCTCCGGTTTTGTAAGGAAAGCTGTCAGAGCTGCTGAAGCTGAAGCTAGGGGTGCCAGTGCGCCTGCAGAAGCTATCAAAGCAGCTGGTGATGCTGCTGCTGAAGTTGTCAAATCTGCTGCTTTAGAGGTATGGGACTTCTAAAACTCCCTCTCCACCCTCAACCCCAACCCCTTTTTCTCAAAATAATAACTATTGAATGAGTTCTACCATGTATTTAGGAGTTCAAAACCACTAACAATGAAGAAGCTGCTGTTTTGGCTGCTTCCAGAGCTGCATCTACTGTTATTGATGCTGCTAATGCAATTGAAGTTTCAAGGTTGGTAACACATTTAATTATATAAATAGGTCTTTTTTATGGCAGTTTAGTTGTTATGTGCATTATATTGCATTAGTGGTCCAAGTCAGTACCTTATGCTCCATTCATATTGGTTGATAACAGGAACTCCACTAGCGTAACTGTTGATCCAGTTAACATAAGTGCGGCAGAAACTGAGATCAATGAGGAAGCTGAAGATTATTTTATTCTGGATGTTGAATCCCTTGCTCAGTTGAGAGAAAAATATTGCATTCAGTGCCTTGAGGCTTTAGGACAGTATGTTGAAGTGCTTGGACCTGTACTCCATGAGAAGGGTGTAGATGTTTGTCTTGCGTTGCTACAGCAAAGTTCCAGACATGAGGAAGCATTAAAGGTTGCTTTGTTGTTGCCTGATGTGATGAAGCTAATTTGTGCTTTAGGTGCTCACCGGAAGTTTGCTGCATTATTTGTTGATCGAGGTGGCATGCAAAAACTACTTGCTGTTCCAAGAGTGCCTCAAAACTTCTTTGGCCTTTCATCTTGCTTATTTACTATAGGTTCTCTTCAGGTAATATATGTAAACTTGGAAGTCGGAAGTTCTGTTACATTATCATACCGTTTTTTATCTAATTGGTACAGCACTTTCTCATTTCCTAGAGATGCATTCTTTAAACAGGATTTAGTCTCAGGAAGTTAGAAAAATGAAGGTTTTGATATTTTGACTGATTCTTAAATTAATAAAAATCGGAAATTATAATCCTTTAAAGGCCGGAAAACCTAAGGTTTATAATTTTTTTAACTTATTTTCCATGATTTGAGAGTGCTATGGTAATAAGAGATCCTAGTTTTCCCAAATTCCAGGGAATAATGGAACGTGTGTGTGCGCTTCCATCAGATATTGTCCATCAAGTAGTTGAGTTAGCTATCCAGCTTCTGGAATGCTCCCAGGATCAAGCAAGGAAAAACGCAGCCTTGTTTTTTGTAGCTGCATTTGTATTTAGAGCAGTCCTGGATGCTTTTGATGCTCTGGATGGTTTACAGAAACTACTGGGCCTTTTAAGTGATGCTGCCTTAGTAAGATCTGGTACAGCATCACTTCGAAATGATCGATCACCAGCCGAAGTTCTGACATCTTCTGAAAAGCAGATAGCTTATCATACCTGTGTTGCTTTGCGTCAGTATTTCAGAGCACATCTTCTTTTGCTTGTGGATTCTATACGACCAAATAAAAGTACTCGAGGTGGGGCACGAAATGTTCCGAGTGTCAGGGCAGCATACAAGCCACTCGACATTAGTAATGAGGCTATGGATGCTGTATTTCTGCAGTTGCAGAAGGATCGGAAGCTGGGTCCTGCTTTTGTGAGAACACGGTGGGCTGCTGTTGAGAAGTTCTCAAGCTGTAATGGGCATATTACCATGTTGGAATTGTGTCAGGTTGGTTGTATTACTTTTACACCTTCTCTTTTTCTTTTCTCTTCTTGCATTGTTCCTTGACAATTGAATTAATTATTTTCTAATGCCTGCAGGCCCCACCAGTTGAGCGATACCTGCATGACTTGCTTCAGTATGCTCTGGGGGTTCTGCACATTGTAACGTTGGTTCCTACTAGTCGCAGGATGATTGTAAATACCAGTCTGAGCAATAATCGTGCAGGTATAGCAGTCATTCTGGATGCAGCAAATAGTGCTAGTAGTTTCCTGGAGCCTGAGGTAGGCATTTGGTGCAATATTTTGCATCACTAACAATATATATGTTTTGTAATATCTTTTTGTTGGTTTTACTGCTATTGAAGATATTGCTGGTATTGAGGTCCACATGTTTTCAAACACCATCTTGCTTTTTTGTGGTTTTGTTGTTTGAAATACTAGTTGCTGGCTTGTGATTAGTATGATGCTTATTCTTTTGCTAACCATCACCTTGAATTCTCATGTTTTGTATTTGTAGATTATACAGCCTGCACTCAATGTGTTGGTCAATCTTGTTTGCCCACCGCCTTCGATCAGCAACAAACCATCCCTAATTGGACAAGGTCAGCATTCTGCTTCTTGCCTAACCTTAAATGTTTCTGCTGTGGAGACTAGAGATAGAAATGCAGAACGCAATCTTTCAGATCGAGCTGTTTACACGTCTAATCAGAGTGACACGAGGGAGCGAAACGGAGACTCTTGTGTGTTAGATCGAGGCAGTGCACCGGGAGCCCAGTCTGTAGCTGCAACTCCACAAACACCTGTTTCTGCTACTGCATCAGGTTTGGTTGGAGATCGTCGAATATCTTTAGGTGTTGGAGCAGGTTCTGCTGGCCTTGCAGCCCAATTAGAACAAGGATATCGCCAAGCTAGAGAGGCTGTACGTGCCAATAATGGTATAAAGGTTCTTCTGCATCTCCTTCAACCACGCATATATACTCCTCCTGCTGCCTTGGATTGTCTCCGTGCTCTTGCCTGCCGTGTCCTGCTTGGTTTAGCTAGAGATGACACAATTGCACACATACTGACCAAACTTCAGGTAAATAACCTTTTTACATGTGTATGCATGAGTAATGAGAGACAACATAGGGCATCTCTACCTTTTATTTGCTTTATGGTTTCTGTTTGCTGTTGGTGAGATTTCCAGATTGAGTGTTGGTGTTTGTATTGTTTGTAGGTTGGGAAAAAGCTATCAGAACTAATTCGAGATTCTGGTAGCCAGATGCCTGGAACTGAGCAAGGAAGGTGGCAAGCTGAACTTATGCAGGTGGCAATCGAGTTAATTGCAGTAAGTATTCATGCTCTCTATGGAATGCTGGTTATGTTTGGATTATGACATTTAGCCATAGGACCTTTCTGTTTTTGGATACTAATTTGAGGAGTAGTCTTCTGTTTTCCATGGTTTCGCTTTTCTTAGTTAATACTCATTTTATTTGCTTGATGCCTTAATTAGTTGTTGATGATGATTATGGTGTTTGGTATATGAACTGGACTCTGTATTGTGGCATAAGATGAACCCTTTAGGCCATAATACTGAATCCAGCTCATATAACAGACACCATAATCATCATCATCATAACAACAACAACTAATTCTAATCAAAGCACATATTATTCCCCACACATACATGCACATGCCTCACACATTAAGCATCTGGATGGTTGTTATGGAAAATATTTTCTGTAGATTTAAATATCTGCAATGAAGTTAGTAGGCATTATGATTTAATCTAGTTTTACTTATTTTCTCTGTTGTAGATCGTAACAAATTCGGGACGTGCAAGTACGTTGGCAGCTACTGATGCTGCCACACCCACTTTGAAGCGCATAGAGAGAGCTGCTATTGCTGCTGCCACACCTATTACTTACCATTCAAGGTATTTTCTATTTAAGAGAGAATTTATGGATTCATTATCTATTTTTAACAGAATCCTTGTTATTTCATCCCTTTTGACTGTTTTTATTGTTTCTTTTCTGGTGTGTGGACGTGCATCTGAAATCTAAGGGAGCTTTTGCTTCTCATACATGAACACCTTCAGGGATGTGGTATGGCTGAAACAGCAGCTACACTTATTAAAGAAGGTCAATTGACACCTCTTCCATCCTTGGCAGCCCCATCGTCTCTTGCACACCAATCCACCACCCAGGAAATCCCCCTAATGCAACTTCAGTGGCCTTCTGGTCGTATTGCTGGTGGATTTCTCTCCAACAAACAAAAAGTTAGTGTAAGGGATGAGGATTCCAGTCTGAAGTGTGATTCAGCATCATCTTTGAAGAAGAAACCACTTGTTTTCTCTCCTCCTTTTAGCTTAAAATCAAGTAATCAGTTTCACTCTCATGATTCCCAGCCAGCATCAACGAGGAAAGTCTCGATTATTTCAAGAGACTTTCCAGCACCTGCAAGTGTATCAGAAATACCTTCAGAAAATGTGCAGAAAAATAACCTTGATGTGGGATCTCAATGTAAGACACCAATCATTGTGCCAATGAAAAGGAAATTGTCTGAGTTAAAGGATACTGGGTTGGGACTATCAGGGAAGCGGATTAACACTGGTGATCATGCAATTCAGTCTCTGGTTCAGTCAACACTCAGTAGCCGTAGAAGCTATCTTGCAAATGGACTGGGGTTTTCTACCCCAAGTTCGAGTCTTAGAGATCAACATGGAAGGTCTACACCTAGCATTTTGACAGATCTTTTGGATGACAACCAATGCAGCAGCTCTCATGTTGGTCAGATGACACCTTCCTCTCAACCTGTACTTCTAAATGATCCCCAGTCCTCCAGCTCAGAGCGGTTAACTCTAGAGTCTATTGTAGTTCAGTATCTCAAGCAACAGCATCGACAGTGCCCAGCTCCTATAACAACTCTTCCACCACTCAGTCTTCTGCATCCACATGCTTGTCCGGAGCCAAAGCGGAGCCTTGATGCACCATTGAACATAGCGGCACGGCTAGGTACACGTGAGTTCAGAGGTGTCTATGGTGGAGTCCATGGAAATCGCAGAGATCGTCAGTTTATTTACAGCAGATTTAGGCCATGGCGAACTTGTCGCGATGATGCTGGTGCTCTGTTGACATGCCTCAGCTTCCTTGGGGACTCCTCCCAGGTTGTAGTTGGTAGCCATGCAGGTGAGATCAAAATTTTTGACTCCAACAGCGGCAATGTGCTGGACAGCTGCACAAGCCACCAGTCTCCTTTGACAGTTGTTCAGCCATATGTTTCTGGTGAAACGCGACTCATTCTCTCTTCAAGCTCCCAGGATGTGCGGTTATGGAATGCCTCTTCTGTATCTGGTGGGTCCATGCATTTATTTGATGGCTGCAAGGCTGCAAAATTTAGCAATTCAGGGGCCACTTTTGCAGCCCTACCTGCTGAATCCAGCCCCCGAGAGATTCTCCTCTACGACGTCCAAACCTGCCTTATGGAATTGAAGCTTTCCGATACTTCTGCCAATTCTACAGCTAGGGGCCATGCATATTCACTTATACATTTTAGTCCTTCAGACACAATGCTCCTCTGGAATGGTGTGTTGTGGGACCCGCGGGCTCATGGTCCTGTGCATCGCTTTGAACAGTATTCTGACTATGGCGGTGGCGGTTTTCATCCTACTGGGAATGAGGTAAGAGCTTTCTCTCTTCTATGGTTGGTTATTTTGCTATTTGCTTGTTTTTGTTTCGTCGTTAGTGAAGTCTTATCTTTGCCTTCTACCAGACGTTATTGTTTTTCCTTTTCAATTTTGATGTGCCTAAAGCTGTTAATTCTCATGGTCGACATTTTTGATTTTATGGTGATATATATTTATCCACGAAGTTTCCTTTTGGACATTAGGATAATACTTTTACCCTTCATCAGGTAATCATAAATTCCGAGGTCTGGGATCTGAGGAAGCTGAGGTTGCTGCGAACTGTACCTTCTTTGGACCAAACGTCAATTACATTTAATGCAAGTGGGGATGTAATTTATGCAATCCTGAGAAGAAATTTAGAAGATGTGATGTCAGCAGTTCACACTCGTCGTGTTAAGCACCCTTTCTTTGCTGCTTTCCACACGGTGGATGCCATCAACTACTCTGAAATTGCCACTATACCTGTTGACCGTTGTGTTCTCGACTTTGCAACGGAGCCAACTGATTCCTTTGTTGGGTTGATCACAATGGCTGACCAAGAAGAGATGTTCTCATCAGCTAGGGTGTATGAAATTGGTCGACGAAGGCCAACTGACGACGACGACGACCCTGATGACGCACAGAGCGATGAAGAAGAAGAAGAAGACGACGATGATGCTGACGTGGATCCAATTCTTGGGGCGGACATGAATGGGGAAGGGGAGAGTGATGATGATGATGATGATTTGAGCGATGAGGATGAGGATGATGATGATGATAGTGGGAGTGAGTTGGATGATGAGGAGGATGGTGAATTTATGATGGACGATGTAGACTTGGATGGAGGAGCCGGGATATTAGAGTTTATGACAGCAGGCGATGAGGATGACGATGATAGCCAGATGCTTGAATCATTTAGCAGTGGTGATGAGGATGAATTCACAGAAAATGGTTTTGGTTTCTGATTGTCTGAAACTAAAAAAAAAGAAAAAAATTGTTAAATCAACATTCCTTCCAAGTCATTAACTCTGAATCCTGTAATTATTGTTTGAAGGCCATATGCCAATTTTGTTACTTTGGTATTCTCTTCCTCAACTTTGTTCATAGCCATAAGATGAAAATAAGAGAATTTATTCATGCAAAAAAAAAAAAAAAAAAAAAAAAAAAAGGGTTACAAGACCTAATCTTGCATTGGGTGACTCATGGTATAAAACA